GACGTGGAGGATGTTCCTTTGGCTGCTCACCTGCCAAAATCAGATGAGGATGTAATAATACTGCCTGACATATCATATTCTGAACTCAGTCTCATCAGAGACTTACCTAAAGAATCTTGCCAGATGTGGAGGAAATATAATTATCCATGCCGTATTACAAAACATGGACCCTGACTACGCACAATCTGATATTCGGGAATAGAGATTCATATAGAATTCCTTGAAATTCGGAAATATATCGACTGAACAAGTGATGAGACCGATCAGGAAGGACGGGGATTCTAGACACCGGCTAATAAAGATAAGCTTCACGCCTCTTCATATGGCGGTCGTCAGTCTCGAATCATTTCGTTACGACAGACGTTGGTTACCAAATGGAATCCACATGCATCCGGACAGGCCATATTACGCAAGATCGAACACAAATGCATCTTGGATCTGACGTTTCCACTTGTGAGCTGCCCAAATCGTGGAAAAACTGTAGAATGAACATTGCCTACCAGCTCGGAAAACCCAGGGTAGGTAGTTTGCCTGTCCATTCTCTTAGAGCTCGCTCAGATAAACAGGATGAGGAAGCTCACGCGCAATTGCACTTAGGCTGCGTATTTACAAACCAAGAATTTCTGATTGTCAACCTCTAGCCTTTGACTCCCGGGGAGAGAAGCGACCACGCCACCATAGCCTTCAGTTTTATCGGTAAAAATGAGCTAAGACATTCTACCAACAACAGGCGCTGGAATTTCAAACAGTTGGATGTGTCAGCTTAACAGGACTTTCTGCAGCGAGCGAACTGCACATGATGTTATGTATTACTAAACAATCTGTTCTGAGAACTGTCCCTAAAATCTACAACTACCTTACAAACATAAAGTGTCGTACTCTCCATTTCCTAAGACGCGAAAGTCACTATTGTGTACAGTACAAACGAATTGGTAACAACAGTTCATACTAGCAATTCAAACAAGTGGGGAAACAATCCACAAAGGCAATAAAAAAAAATCGAATTCAACATCAGACAAAGCTTGTCAATAAATTTGACACCAAACCGAAATGCTTGTTCCATTAAGCAGCTTATCTTGGGCAAGTCAAGTTCGGAGTTTCCTAATTGGTAGGTCCTAGTTGCCCAACCAACAATAACGGTGATGCTGACGACCTGCATGCAGAACAGTACTTCCAGACATTTTAACTGACCCATAATAACTAAATTGATGAGAACTTCACCTGCAGCTCAACAGAATTCTCAGAAATGGACCTGAGCGCTGACTCGGTGTGTCGAGGACTGCAACACCTAAACAGAAACACTTATCCTAGCCAAAATATGGTTCATTCTGCTACACTGAGAGAAGGAGCTTCAATCTTGGGAACAGCGCCGAGCACGATGTTTTCACATTCACTAAGCCGAGTTTCATTACCAGAAAATTGGAAGCCACCTCACACCACGCCAATTTTCAAAGGAGGTGGACACAGCGAACCCTCAAGATACAGGTTGGTAACACCTCTCTCAATATCCTCAAAAATTATGAATTTCCTAATTTGCGATGGTATGCACGACCACTTACCATCTGTAACCTTCTCTTCACTCCAAATGCTCGGTTTCAGGAACAGCCATTCTTGTATAATCCGCCTTCTGACCTCGGTGGACATATGGACAACCATCTTTGATCACATGGGGAAAATTGACGTCATTTACCTTGATTTCGCAAAAGCTTTTGATAGGGTCAACAATATAAGTCTTATCAATAAGCTCACAGCATGAGCATCAAATCACCTCTAATTCATTGACTCACTTGTAGCGTGGCGTCGAGTTGAGATTAACTATGAACACCGCTACCAGGAAACAGGTGCCAGATAAATCAGAAGGCGAGGGTTGGACGTAACCAAATAGATCCATAAAATCCCCGAGAAGCCAAATATCAGAAGACAGTTAATGGACCAAGTCGAGGTTTATTAGCTGGCGATCTCGTGGCATCGAAAGGATACCGAGATCGTGCCAGGATACAAGCTTGGTTACAGAAGGTAACCGAATTCGCGCGAAGTTACAATCGAAGTGTAAGTGAAAGAAAGGAAGCACAAAATAGCTGTCATTAGCACAGTCAAACAAAAGCACGTTAAAACAAACACTGGTACAGTTGGTTATAATAATAATTGTTCTTATTAAACCAGTCGTGTTCTCGTGATAAACGTGAGTCACTACAGGAGCCCCCCGCTAGAAAGGGTTTACACTTTCGATAAATAGCGGTTTGAATCGTGGGACTGATCGGCTGACGAGCGATTGTAGGACGGAAGAATTGGCGAACAGGAAAGCGATCGTTGATCGTCGAGTTGCCAACGAAGGTCGTTTTCGGAGAACAGTACCAGGAGCGATGTGCTGTATTTATTGCTCGAGTTGGCATGCTACACCAGAGTGGTTTGTATCCAGAATCTGAAGAGGGCGTTCGTACGGGTCCGGACCATAAACGCTGCAGACGAAGGACGAAACCACGTTGAGCCAAAAGACCAGAAGCGACCGTTACGACCAAGTTCGTGACCAAGCGTGTGCCAAGCATTCGAAACCAATATATCGACTGAGTGCGTTGACAAGAGCATGGGTGATCAGGCCAGCTTTCGCCAAAGTTGACTGAAGTCGACGGAACCAAACGGAGATGGTCGAAGGCGTGGGCTCAGGAAACAAAAAGAAAATCAAAAAAAGAAGAGTGTAGCATACGTGTAGTATAGGAATAATCCTACACCGTATCGGTAGTTGACTGTGCGACTATTCGCGGAAGCGTACGGGTAACCGTACTCGGCGACCGGAACGTGAGACGGCAGTCTCGTTCGCGTCGCGTGAGCCTGCAATCTCATCCGAAGTCAAGGGCGGCGTGGTCTGCTGATCTGGACGTGAGACTGTCGTCTCGTCCGTAGACGGTGCAGATGACGCGTGCTGTTGACTGGGACGTGAGAATGAGGTCTCAGATGTATCTAGCGTGGGACCTGTAGATGATTTGAGGATCCCGCTAGTAGGTTTGCTAGGTCTAGCATTGAATCTCAGGTTGTCAGATAGGGCACTGTCATCGACGTGTGCTGGTTTGAGACGATCAATGCTGACGATCTCGACGCGTCCATATCGATCAACCTTGAAGGTCTTTTCGTGACGAGCGATCACGTGAAAAGGGCCTTCGTAAGGTTGTTGCCAAGGTTGGCGTACCGAATCTACTTGTACAAAAACATGTGAACAGGTAGATAACTCTCGAGGGAGAGCGACCTGTCGATGTTGTATTCGAGTTGACACCGGAGACAGCGTTCGCATAAATGCAGACAGTCGATGGACGTAGTCTGATTTACGGAAATTAGGTCTGCTCCGTGGTGTGAAGAATTCTCCGGGCAGACGCAATGTCGTGCCGTATACAAGTTCAGTGGCGGAACATTGGATATCTGCCTTTAAGCTCGTTCTCGCCCCTAAAAGAACGAGCGGTATGGTTTCGTGCCAGTTGCCGTTTTCGTGTGCTCGTAGAACACTTTTAAGTTGGCAGTGAAACCGTTCAACTTAACCATTTGGTGCTGGGTGGTAGACGGATATGCTTATGCGTATGCATTCCGTACCAAGCAGCCGGGTCAGCGAGGAGAATCGTTAATAGGGTAACATTTCTCGAATGAAGCGTGGAATTCATCATCACGCGAATAAAAAGTGACAAGGATTCGGTACACATACGTGTGAGTCTATTATATTAATACTATTCTTATCGTTATCCGTCATGTCGAGTATATTATATATTAAAAATATGAAAATATACGACAGACGTGGATAGATAAATCATAGACTCACCGAATTGGCTTCTTTGGAAGATTTGATCAGAAGTTGAGGCGTGTTCCAAAATACGGGTCACCAATTGTATTCGAATTGGGATTACCAAGTTGAGATTAACTATGAACACCGCTACCAGGAAACAGGTGCCAGATAAATCAGAAGGCGAGGGTTGGACGTACCAAATAGATCCATAAAATCCCCGAGAAGCCAAATATCAGAGGACAGTTAATGGACCAAGTCGAGGTTTATTAGCTGGCGATCTCGTGGCATCGAAAGGATACCGAGATCGTGCCAGGATACAAGCTTGGTTACAGAAGGTAACCGAATTCGCGCGAAGTTACAATCGAAGTGTAAGTGAAAGAAAGGAAGCACAAAATAGCTGTCATTAGCACAGTCAAACAAAAGCACGTTAAAACAAACACTGGTACAGTTGGTTATAATAATAATTGTTCTTATTAAACCAGTCGTGTTCTCGTGATAAACGTGAGTCACTACACACTTCATATCTAAAAATCGACATTTTAAGGTTAGGGTTAACTTCGCTTTCTTTCAGCCTATGGGATGTCTTAGTGGGGTCCCCCAGCGTTCAGTACTAGGATTTCTTCCTTTCTTGGTTTATACAAATGATCTTCTACAACAGATATCGTCTGACTTATTACTTTTTGCTGATGATGTGGAACTTTGGAGAGCGATACGCAACCAAGAGGACATACTGGCACTTCAGAAGGACCTGACTCAACTTCACAGATAACAACGAACTTACCAATTACGGACTTTACTCATTAGAGTACAGGAGTCTTAGGGGTGACCTTCTAGTGACTTACGGAATCCTGAATACTTTTGGACATCCCCTTAAACACCTACTTATGCTTAGTCATAACACAAAACTTAAGGATAAAACCCAGAAACTGGAGGCACAGCAAAGCAGAACGGACTGTAAGAAAACCTGCTACTCCTCAAGAGTAGCCAAATTTTGGAAATCGCTACCGTCTGAGCTAGTCTAAGTGACTTCCCAGGAGTTCTTTAGGAGATGACCAAAGACAGTATCCCACTATAATTTACCAATTCCTTTTTCTATTTTGTTACTAAATATACTTAAGTTCTGACCTGGTTACATCGATGATCCACTGCTACCAGATACGGCAGCCTGTTCAGCAAAAACTTCTATTCAATCCTGAACCATTGGGATCATCTGAACTTAACCCCCCAACCATTTGAGCCATTTGAATTTGGTTCTTCAAGGTCACTGATATCATTTGAGATGCTTAATGTTAACGTGGGAGTGCTGGGACATGTCGACTCAGGAAAAACGAGCCTAGCAAAAGTCTTAAGCACTATTGCTAGTACTAGCGCGTTTGATAAAAATCCTCAGAGTAAAAAACGAGGTATCACGCTTGATCTTGGATTTTCTTCCTTTGTCGTGGATTCGGCGGGCTACCCTTTTATGCCTTCTATAAGCGAAAACTTCGAAAAGGTTCAGTTTACCCTTGTTGACTGTCCCGGGCATGGGTCACTCATAAAGACGGTTTTGTGTGGTGAGTCACCTTGTTTTCGTCTTTATCCCGATCTTTATATTTTGAGGGAAAATTGTACTAGGTTTATGGAAACTTTCAGGAATCTGCAATAAGAGAGCTTTATTGAAATGCAAGGAAAACATAGGAATTTTGTTTATGCATGGTTGTTTTCCTCAAAGTAGCTTGAAACTGGTTAAATCCCCAAAACTTAGGGAAGATCTTCCTTTTTGGGTCGCCCCAAAATTTCTCCAGACTTTGGGAAAAACTACAAATTTCTATTTGATTTTAGAAAAGCTCAAAAATCGGAAATTGGGATACTTTACAACTACAGTCCCTCGATTTATCTGCCATTTTTTGCTGCTAATTAATTGTGATATTTACCGACTATGGGATTGGCAAGTATCTTTATTCCTTCAGAATCCTTAAAAATCTAAGGATAACCACTTTCGTTCTAATTTAAACTGTAGGGCTTAATTGTGCCCATGTATTGCTTTATACATATATAGAATCCTAATTAGGCCGTCGTGTATCCCTGTATGTCGTCATACGTACAAAATATTTTGTTATGATGCTTAAGTCCAGGTAAACATAGTGGTACCAAATGTTTTAAGTACCATAGCTCTACTTAAAACAGTAAGTATTGAATTAAGGTGTTTTTCTTGGTTTCACTTTTTGACTCTTGTCACTCAATGTTTGTATGAACACTCACTATATAATGTAATCTAGATCGGAAAGGAAATTGAAGTGATTATGTTGTACTTGGGTTCATGGTGGTGCCATCCCTTATGACTACTTTTTTCTCTTATCGACCTTGCAAACAATCATTGTCTTAATTACTGCATTTTAACTCAAAAACGTTAGTCTAAGTAGCGAAAACTACGTATTGACTATACGCAAATGAATAAATGATAAATACAAGCCAAAATTTCTAGTGTGAATCATTGTAAGTCAAACAACACTTTTAAGTATTGTGAATCTTCGGCTGTCTAAATTCAGGATATTTGGTGACTGTTGGCTCTAAAAATTTTAAGCAACCATACTATCAGATAGTTTAAATAGTAGTGAAACATCGACGAAACTATGTTAAGTGGTTGCTTGTTTACACTGTTTGTGTTATAAAACTTCGGCAACATAAACGAACCGGTTTTTGCAGTGCTTTACTGTAAATCCAATTCATTCGTTTTTCTTGTTTCCGGGTATATTTCATATATACGGAGTATCCCATCCTTTAAAGGTAAATTTAAAGCTTTGTCACTAGATTTTACTTTTTAAAGCTAGTTTTTCTGGGCGGGTGGCTTATTCTCAACGATAGACTGTAGTGTTATCATTATTATTATTCCAAATTCTAGGGTCCCAAATAATCGATATCGTCATTCTTGTTGTCGATGTCACTAAGGGTTTTCAAACCCAAACTGCCGAGTGTTTGGTGATTGGTGAGATAGCTTGTGAGAAAATGTTGGTAGTCCTCAATAAGTGTGATTTGTTACATGAAAATCAAAGGGACGAATTAATTCAGAAGGTATTGTAATTTGCTGTGATTATACTGCTCAAAGATGAAAAAGCGTATCCTAAAAACGTTGGAGAATACAATTTTTAAACAGTCGGAAATTGCAGAAATTTCAGCTGCTCCTGGTGGTGTTCAGGTATAATATCAATTATTTTCATTTGTACATGTGTAACATGTCTGCACCCTTCTCTCTTCCGAAGTCATTTCTTATCTAAACAATTCTAAGATTATTATTGGCGCTTTTTTATCAGTCAGTAAGCTACAACGTAGGACCAGGCACATATATGCTTTTTTGTCATTAAACTTCACTTGATAACGAGTTATCCAATTTATAAGTTTGTTAGATGATAATCAGGACAGATATCTGCTTCATTAATATTCTTGTTCTTTTGGCAGTAAATAGTATTTTGTCCTTTGTTTTATCATCTCAATGCACGAGATTCTATTGGTTTGTATTATTTATTTTATCGGTTGTTGCACTATCTTCATATTATGGTTTATTAAATAATCTTGGTGCCAGAGTTTCCAAATGTGGACTTGTAAATAGCAGTTTGATAGTTAAGTTCGTGAGTCAAAAACATTGAGATAATCGTAGACAGTTTACTCATGATTTATATGTATGTGGGTCTGAACGGACTCTATACGTACTGAGCTCTGAGAATCCAAACACTGCGTCAGTGTTTCTTTCTGCATCTCTGTTCTATTCGATTTTTGTTGGAGATTTGTCTTATAACTTTATCGACTACCAAACATCCGAATAGGAATCACTTTTCCGATATATGCTACACGTAATTGTATTTTTATTTCGGGATATAAAAAATATCTTGCCTAACTGGTGATGTCAGGAAGTTTTAGCTTCAATCTTTGTTTAGCACTTTCATCTCAAACAAGAGTATATCATTAGTAAATTATTTATAGGTTTTTCAGTCGGAAAACTTCAAACCGTATTCGCATTTCGAATGACTAAGGATATATGAAGTTGTTAGCCATCATTAAAAATTGATAAAACTAAATTCCGTACTAAGCTATTGTCTCCCCCGTTTATGGTGTTTAGGTGATTTCACCTGGAAAGAAAATTAAGTATGGACTCTAACGACATATTTTATAAAAACTTCACATATTTAAAGAATCATGGTTCTAATAATTTTCCTAACTATTGTTTCATTAAATTACTACTAGAATCAATTTCCTCCAAGCTGTAGGCATGGTTCATTCTTTGTTTCGTCTGTATTACTATATTATTCTTGTTTATAGTATATTTACCTTCGTATTTACCGTTTATTTGTTACTATCAAAAATATTTTATTTGATTCATTAGGCGGTACAATTTATAATTTGTGTAACAGGTAGAATTTACATCTGAACAACGTACAAACAATTCACAAGAAATTAAAAATCTAATCTCTTTATTGGCACGATCAATACATGATCCAACTGAGAAGCGTAATAAGTTGAAAGATATGGGTTTTGTATTTGCTGTGGATCATTGTTTCACAATTACCGGACAAGGTACCATTCTTACTGGAACTGTGCTATCTGGGACTACAAGTGTTGGTCAAGTAACTTGCACATGTTTGATATTTTATTTCATTACTAATATTTTAAGCTGATTTTATTTCATTTTACTCAAGTTAGTCATTTCTTCCACTGAATTTCAAACCCAAACTTTTGGTGTCCTTTATTACTTCTTATAACCGCTAAACAACATCGTATAACAAATCACCAGTCAGAATCCTGATTCTAATTTGCTTTTTTGTGCGTTTACTTTTTACTCTACAGTTTAATTTCTCGGATTTTACCAGTGCACGTCTGATCAACCCTATCAACCTTGATTCAACAGCTAGTCCCCTTTGGTTCACGATTGTCTAGTTTCTGTCTTCCCCTACCTTAATATCTAAAAGTTATCAACCAGCATCTACTACATTATATTTCAAGTAGACGTAGTCTGTGTACAAGCATATCAGACCACTTCACACCATGAAATGAAAACTAACAACCATACACGGTCGAGCCAGAAGTGGTTTCGAGACTGAATAATAGACTGGGAACAAATTAGGAATAGTTAGCCATACAACAGTGGTTAATAGGTTAATAGAAATCTTATGATAAAGGGAATATGTGTGCATAGTGATCGGTTTACTCAGTAGTTACAGAACAAAGTTATAATTAATAATAGTTTGAGAAAACTAGTCCCATCTTTTACAATATCCGTTCCTTTAAAACATCTCACGTTAATTTTTTTTAGTTCTACTTATTTTTCTTGAACTTTTTGATCATGCCACCCGGTCGCTAAGACCAATACTAATCGAGTTTCTTTTCCAGGTCCCTCAAGAAGAAATATTCTTCCTCCTTATGGGCAGCCGCGAAGGGATAACTCTCTGCATGTTATTTTATTTATTTGAACATATAAATATTGGTACAAAGAGGTACTGAATACACATGCGCCACGCAAGTCACTTGATTTGTGTGTGGGCTCTGATACTGCTCGGGTGCCCAGACCGAAGCAGGTGGTTTACTTATGGGGCCACACCCGGAGCCTTCAACCTGAGGGTTTGATCCACAAGGTAGTGGAGCAATGTCATGAGACGCAGTCCCATGGTATCAGGTGACCAATAATTGGTTCATACGCTATTTTATCCCTCAGGTTCCCGGAGCCAGTCATGTGCACCATTGATTTAGAATCAGGGTTTTCCAACTCCCCTAGATAGACTGTTGTTGTCCACCAACCCGGTTGGAGCGTCGGACATTGGCTTTTCGTCCTGAAAATGAGGTTATCAAATACGACTACTAAATTTTGATGAGTTAATCTATCGATTAGCATAATAGGTTGTTGCTTACTTGTAGTAAAGCTTACTGGCAACACTAACAGTTCCAATAGTGGTGCTTTTGATGACTGCCACTATTATTTAACTGTGGATTCGTTTGCGCGTCAGATGTCTCTTGATATTTCCGTTGCAAGAACTTATAATAATAGATTCGGTTAACGAAAACATCATTTAACACCAACTTCTGTACAATATCATCGTTACTAAGGCTACAAATTCACAAGGTCAAAGTCTACTCAATCATCCCGCTAGCTTACAAATTGAATAAAATCGTTTCGCAACTTACAAAATTGGCTACACGTCTCTGATGGTTTTAACTGAAAAGAATTTTCACTGCGTCCAACTGCAAAGTATTTTTTGGGCAATAGAAAATACTGCCAAAGAATATAGTAATACGACCACTCCTATTGGAATCACAACTTGAAACTTTGATGTAAAGACATGTCCTTTCATAAATCACTGCAGCTATGAAAGCTAGTGATCTGAGGGACAGACGGTGTTTTGAAGCTTTCTAGCGCCGGCCTGCTCGAATATCTGGGCAACCTGTTCATCCCATCTAGATATTTCAACAAGTTATCTTTTTTATTTCGTTTTTAACACATTTTTATGTTCCTTAGTCGCACAATCTATTATTATTACTAATCGATTTATTCAATATTATATTTTCGAACAATGTAGAATCCTCAGCACGAGGTATTTCAACAAGTTTCCTTTGCAAAAGGACAAAAAAGTGGAAAAAGAAAAAAGCGAAAAAGATCCCAATCTAAACAACGTTTTAAGACTAGAAACATGTCTAAGAATACAGGTTATTGACTAAGTCAATTCTAACAACCTGTTCGTCACAGAGTATATTTACTAGATGAAGTATTATAGAACTTTTATACCTTTAATTGTGTGTGTGGATGTTAATGAAAATACATCTCGGTTTACCAGAAGATATACAAGGAGAAATATATGAATGAAAGGGACGGTTAGTATCTAATAAGATAACACCTGCCAGCAGTTTCAAGACCTTAGATGTATTATATCCTAGTGAAGATCTAACTACGAGTAACGTCTGAGACCTATTAATGGACTAATCTTATTTATATACTCTTATGGTATAAATATTCAGTAACTAGATTATGTATGTCTATATTCCCCTTATTATAAGCTTCATTTTGACCTATAGATTATTATTGTACGATTTACTGTTTCTAGGTTATGCTCAGTTTATTAATTACCGTCTCTCACGTTCGCAGCCACTTTTTGGCTTTATTGTGTATGGATGTTATTTTCTATTTTATGGTGCGTTGCGGTCTGTTTGTTTGGTATATAAACCCAGTATATCTGAAGTAAATGATTCGATTCGATTCGATTTGCACAGTGGAGGCTGTTATTGGCATTCTGGACTCAGCTGGACGGGCTAGGCGAACATAGGACCAATAGGACACTAGGCTGCTCATACCGGTCGGACTTCACTGGTTTAGTACAGTATAAGAGCGAATAAGTCGTATTTTGATTGGCGAATAGATTACGTGATAGCTAGCGGCTCATAAAGTCACGACAAGATGTCTGTCCACAACTATATTAATAATGACCTCAAAAGATTCATCACACACCTTGCTAACTTCCTTCAGCACTCTCCGTAATACAGCAAAGTCTTTTTCTCAAACGCCCGGGAAAGAATAATGAAGAATAGTAAAGTATAGGATGAATTGACAAATTGTAAGACTGAATGTCGAGTAATCCCAAAAGCACATAGCCTCTTTATGTAGTAAGCCAGACGGAAAACTTTCTTCGATAATAGTAAAACATGAGAAGACCAAAAGAGATCAAAGGAAAAAGTAACAACAAGATAATTGACTTTCTACACTGTGTTTATCAAAGAGTCTCCAATGGCACAAACATTATGGGATCCCAACATGGTGTTTAGATGCCGTTCATGTCTCATGCTAAAATTAACAGCTTTACATTTGGATGGATTAAGTTGTTGGATAGTGCGTACTTATCACACTAATTGTCAAATTGGTTGTAGATGTTCTGAACGATTATACAAGTGCAAATTGTGTAACTATTTGTGGACTTCTCTTGTGTCACCGATCAATACTCAGTAAATATTTGATATCTAGTAATTAATGCTACTGTTTTGTTTTTCTTCAGAATATGACTACCGAAATAACCAAATAGAATAAACGGAACAAATCACTTCGGTATTTGTATATTGTAATTCCCTTGGTCGTCTCATTCTTTCTTATGTGTGTCGGTTGTGTGATTTGGAAATGGTTGCATAAAAGAAGTAATGAATGATTCTCAGAAATGTCTTGGGATAGAATCAAAAGCAGAAATATAGTCCAGAAAAGCGCATCGAACATACTTCTTACCCTTTTCCAAACTGAACACTATATTGTGATGCAGAACAGCAACGGCATCTAAGGTGCTTTTGCATCTGTAAGTAAATTGACACGGCTCAATGTGCTCTTTTATTGCAGGTTGAAGTGGGAGTATCAATAACTTTTCCATTGTTTTGTGGAGAGATGAAGTTATTGCTATGGGTCTGAATTCCACATTCTTATCACCAGATACTTTCTTAGATATAGGGGTTATCTTTATCTTTCTCCACATTTTCGGTATGAGATTAGCTGAGAAGGATCTGTTAAATATAGTTGTGAACGGATAACATAGGACGTCAGTACATTTTTTAAAAAGGAGGTTTAGGATACCGTCAGATCCTAAACATCGGGATGAATTAAGTGACTGGAGACATCTTCGGACATTAGTTTCAGTGAAACTAGGAACACAGCTATTCTTTAAACCTGTGGATGAAGGGAGCATTACATCAGATGACTGACGTATAGAAGACTTAGTTAAGTTACGAACCATAACCAACTGAATGTTCGTAACTTAACTAAGTCTTCTATACGTCAGTCATCTGATGTAATGCTCCCTTCATCCACAGGTTTAAAGAATAGCTGTGTTCCTAGTTTCACTGAAACTGATGTCCGAAGATGTCTCCAGTCACTTAATTCATCCCGATGTTTAGGATCTGACGGTATCCTAAACCTCCTTTTTAAAAAATGTACTGACGTCCTATGTTATCCGTTCACAACTATATTTAACAGATCCTTCTCAGCTAATCTCATACCGAAAATGTGGAGAAAGATAAAGATAACCCCTATATCTAAGAAAGTATCTGGTGATAAGAATGTGGAATTCAGACCCATAGCAATAACTTCATCTCTCCACAAAACAATGGAAAAGTTATTGATACTCCCACTTCAACCTGCAATAAAAGAGCACATTGAGCCGTGTCAATTTACTTACAGATGCAAAAGCACCTTAGATGCCGTTGCTGTTCTGCATCACAATATAGTGTTCAGTTCGGAAAAGCGTAAGAAGTATGTTCGATGCGCTTTTCTGGACTATATTTCTGCTTTTGATTCTATCCCAAGACATTTCTGAGAATCATTAATTACTTCTTTTATGCAACCATTTCCAAATCACACAACCGACACACATAAGAAAGAATGAGACGACCAAGGGAATTACAATATACAAATACCGAAGTGATTTGTTCCGTTTATTCTCTTTGGTTATTTCGATAGTCATATTCTGAAGAAAAACAAAACAGTAGCATTAATTACTAGATATCAAATATTTACTGAGTATTGATCGGTGACACAAGAGAGGTCCACAAATAGTTACACAGTTTGCACTTGTATAATCGTTCAGAACATCTACAACCAATTTGACAATTAGTGTGATAAGTACGCACTATCCAACAACTTAATCCGTCTAAATGTAAAGCTGTTAATTTTAGCATGAGACATGAACGGCATCTAAACACCATGTTGGGATCACATAATGTTTGTGCCATTGGAGACTCTTTGATAAACACAGTGTAGAAGGTCAATTATCTTGTTGTTACTTTTTCCTCTGATCTCTTTTGGTCTTCTCATGTTCTACTATTATCGAAGAAAGTTTTCCGTCTGGCTTACTACATAAAGAGGCTATGTGCTTTTGGGATTACTCGACATTCAGTCTTACAATTTGTCAATTCATGCTATACTTTACTGTTCTTCATTATTCTTTCCCGGGCGTTTGAGAAAAAGACTTTGCTGTATTACGGAGAGTGCTGAAGGCAGTTAGCAAGGTGTGTGATGAATCTTTTGAGGTTATTATTAATATAGTTGTGGACAGACATCTTGTTGTGACTTTATGGGCCGCTAGCTATCACGTAATCTATTCGCCAATCAAAATACGACTTATTCGCTCTTATACTGTACTAAACCAGTGACGTCCAACCGGTATGAGCAGCCTAGTGTCCTATTGGTCCTATGTTCGCCTAGCCCGTCCAGCTGAGTCCAGAATGCCAATAACAGCCTCCACTATGCAAATCGAATCGAATCGAATCATTTACTTCAGATATACTGGGTTTATATACTAAACAAACAGACCGCAACGCACCATAAAATAGAAAATAACATCCATACACAATAAAGCCAAAAAGTGGCTGCGAACGTGAGAGACGGTAATTAATAAACTGAGCATAACCTAGAAACAGTAAATCGTACAATAATAATCTATAGGTCAAAATGAAGCTTATAATAAGGGGAATATAGACATACATAATCTAGTTACTGAATATTTATACCATAAGAGTATATAAATAAGATTAGTCCATTAATAGGTCTCAGACGTTACTCGTAATTCGATCTTCACTAGAATATAACACCTCCTTTTTTGACGCATTAAAGATAAGAACGATCCTTAGGGTTTATTTTTGTTCTATTAGCTTTCGGTCTGATGCGTTCGGACCTTGTTGGGAGTGTTTATTATTAGGGTTATCTTTAATTTCATTATCCCACTCAGTTAATATATTTAATGGTATATTTGATTTAATAGCATTTCCTGTGTCCCGCTCTTGTCTGATTGTCTGTATCTGGTTTGCACGTCGCGCTCATATCTTTTGTCAAACTTTTACTTCATAGATAACTTTCCCCTTTTTTTCGTATTATGATGCCAAACTTCCGGGTTGACTTTACTCGCGTGAAATCTCTTGCTATTACCGCTTGTCCCACCCTCAACCTTCTGGTCAATGTACCATGTCGCTTGTTGAATAGGTGTTCCGTTCGTTTGTTCTTGCAGAGGTTGGCGCTAGGTTTTGGTTTCATTTGCTCTATAGGTGTTCTAATCTTTCTTCAAAAATTGCTTCTGCTGGACTTTCTTGATTATTTCTTGCTGTTTTGGGTGTTGGTAGGTTTGTAAAAATCGTTGAATCATCTCTTCTATTTCCCCTTTTCCCTCGGCTTTAAGCAGTGCTCTTTTAAACGTATTGACGAACTTCAACTAAACCGTTAGACTGCGGATCGTATGGGGATGTCTTCATATGCCTAACGGCGTTGGCGGCGCAGAACTTCGAAAATTCAGCGGAGGTAAACTGTGGTCCATTATCAGACACCTATCTCTCTGGACACCGAAAGCAGCTGAATACTTGTTTCAGTTTTTCGATAGTAGCTTATGTCGAAAGAGACTTCATGTAGTGGATCTCTGGATCTCTGCATTTCTATCTTGCAAGGGGCTTTGATGGCTTTTGCACACGCGGAACATCTTTGAACATATTCTTCGATTTGAGCATCAATATTCGGCCAATATACATAGCCACATGCAAGTGCCTTCATCCGTGTTACCCCTGGGTGTGCAGTATACAGTTTTAACATCACCTTACGGCGTAAGTTTGTGGGTACAGTTACTCGATTTCCAAACAACAAGCCACCCGTCCATGATTGATAGAGGATTTCGACGGTGAGAATACTGTTCAATATTTTGTTGAATTTCAAAAAAGTGTCGTCAATCCTACTTAATATGATAATGTTCAAGAGCGTACTGTTTTTATTAATACGAGTCTAAAGCAACAATTCAGGACGTTATAAATTGTATGATAGTAGCACTTCAAAAAGTTTGTAACATCTTGTACAGTGATGATGGAAACAATTGTATTTACAGGGTATATTTTCCTGTCTCACGAAATGGCATATTATCTCTGTGTCGACTACGCAAGCAATCTAGTACTGTATGTGGAACTAAGCAACACATTGAAAAACAAAATAGTTTCCAGACCCATGGTTCTAGATATTCACAATTATATTCTACTCTTCATTGTTTTGAGTAATAAAAATTCGTTTCTAATCAGCATTAGTTCAAATTAAAATCTGTACTGTTGAGGGGCCCTGGAAAAAACGAAACGAAACTATGTAATAAACGTTTCAGTTTATAGTAGTTCTCCAACTGGTGGTATCATCTATGTCGTAAATTATTTGCCCTACATAATCAATTCTGACAGTCAGCAACAACGTAGAACTTCGTACGTACGTACATCACTTCGAGTTGCCATACCACATTATCACAGAGATACAATTGTCGATTCAAATCCCATAGTGGTAGAGGTAGTAAAACTATAAGCAGTAATCGGGAAGACTAGGGTTTGAAGATGTTATTCAAGGAGTATAATCCAATGAAAATTTGGAGAGAGAAAAATAAGGGACATGAAGAATTAAGATCAGGATTTGGGAGAACACAAATTAATGGATGCACTTGTTCTATTGCAAACGATTTTGAGCCATGTCATTCAAGGTATCTAACCATTGGTTGCTATCATCTCGCAGATCCTAACCAGGTAGTCTACACCTAACAACAGACCACTTGTCAGTGACTTTTACACGAGTGATTTAATGGTCTTATTACACTAGAAGATTGGTCTTTACTTATGATTTTCGTTTCAATGTTAATGTATGACTTGCTTTTTGTTTTTTTTAAACTTAAGATTCTAAATTTGTCTTCTATTCATTATCTTAATAGACCATTGGTTTACCTTATCAACGAATTCAAAAGAAGATTAAATCTATTCAAGTATTTCGTCAACCAATTCAATCAATTGGACCAGTATGTTATTTAGTTAAATATTATTATTACTCAGTTTAACAGATTACTAAATCTAGTAAAATGTTATAGTCAAAGTCATCTCCAACGTAGGACCAGGTACATATATGCATCGGTTCAAGTTGCCACACCTAATTAGCACAACCAGATGAACACCATATTCATAGAAATAGTTAATTCAATGATAGTAATATATAAAAGAAGGATCGTATATAAGGATATAGTACAGGAAGAAAGAATTAGTTCGTACAAAGAAGGGTATGAAGCAATTTTAATCTCATAGTTTAAAGGAAGACAAAGAGTGTATACACCGACGCCATTGTGATCAATTCTGAGCCATATCATCCAGAGTCTCCAATAATTAGTTACGATAGTCCGGTTAAAGCACTGGACATTAACTTTTCGTCCTCTCAATTTCGTAAACATCACCCCACTTCGCGATATCTATCAACATATAATATTCACTGTCAACAGTTTAGTACACGGAACTCTAAATTACTATTGTCTGATCATTTATTGTTTTTCCCTTATCCAATGTGTAATATGTGAAGATGTTAGTGAATGTTTTTTCCCGCATATCTTCTCAAACATAATCAAGCTTATTAGATTTTACTTATTAGTTATTCCAAGAAGTTTTATACAGTTCGTCTCTTTTTTTTTTACCAAGTTACTGAATTAACAATTTGTGGTAAGTTTTTTTTTAAAAAATAGTTCCATAATATAAGTTGATATAGATCTTTAAGAATTTGTCATTTCCCCTATGTTGATATCCAGGTTAACAAACGATCAATTTCTATAACTATATATGCATCCTGAACGAATTGTATCTACTATAACTGGTTCGTCCAGTCGATGAATTCCAAATAGACAGTACCTCACACATCTTAGATTCCATTCTCAGATATATATAAAAAAATACATAAATAATAAGTTAGTAACTGTTAAAAGACAATTAGATGTGTTTTTGTTTTGTTTTTCACTTGAGCTTCAAACAATCATGAGTTATTGAAGATGTTTCTATAAAATGATATTGGTAAGTTGAGATTTGACCTACTGCATTTGCATTAAGCAATACCATAATAGCATAGTTTCAATACTTCTGGTATATATCTATATCAGTATGGGGTTGTGAAGATGATTAAGTTTTTGATTGAGATCATGAACCGATTGATGTTAGACCACCAATAATAACCTGGAAGCACTGGACGGCCGTTTCGTCTTGTTATGGGTTTCTTCAGTAGTGCTCATCCACGATCTCGCCCGTGGGATTCGAACCCAGGGGCTTCGGTCTCACGTGTGGACGCTTAATATCTAGACCACTGTGCCTGTATTCAACCTCAACCAATCCACGAAATCGCGCAACCATCTTCCATTGTACTGAGGTAAATACCTGTCTCTACCTGACATGGATTAGCTCCACTGGTCATGGCTTCTCAATAGAACTCTGAGAATTTCCTCACAAAGCTAGTCACTATCTATATATCAATTATTATTTCTTGCTTTTAAGTATTAGTTTTCCATTTAAAGTAACGGCTACACTATAATTTATGAACGAACCAATTAGGTATAAGTTAACAGGTCTCGGATTTTGGTACGGAATTTACTCATCCATTTGGCTAAATAAAGTTATGACATTGTAGCTGATACCAATTCATGATGAAAACTCTCAATCTAATTTTTAACCTTAACCATCAACTGTAAATCATAGTTCTAATTCCTCACACAAGTTTATCAGCCTTATTTGGTCCTAGTTATTAGGTGGACACTCCCATGATTTATGATCCTTATTTACTCTTAGTCAGTAGGTGTCCATTCTCAAGGTCAATTTAGCGTCGCTCATAGGTCATCCGTAAATTATCGTTCTCACCTAAATTGACAAGTTGATTTCACATGCACTCCTTAGTTCGGCTGAACGAGCGGAAAAGGAGGCGGCCGAGTCCGCACGAACAGACTTCGTGAGAAGCCAGCCAGACGGACAGCCGCACACCCGCTTCACGCTCAGGACCAGGCCGCACTGTTCATCATCGCGGTTAGTTGGCCAGGGTCAAGTTTGTTTGACGTCCTGGTGATACGTACTATAGGACTGATCCCTAGAAGTACGATCTCCTACTCACTGCCTTCTCGTGGCGGGGGTGTTGTTTACGAAATTGAGAGAACGAAAAGCGAATGTCCGGCGCTTTAACCGGATTCCAAACCAATGGTGCACATGGGCTCCAGTATCCTGTGGGAACAAATGGCGTATGAACCAATTGTTGGTCACCGGCTTCCATGAGACTGCATCTCCTTACAATACTCCACTGCCTTGTGGATCAGACCTTCAGGTCGAAGGCTCCAGGTGTGGCCCACCAAAAAAACCCACCTGTTTCGGTCTGGGCACCCGGGCATTATCACAGCCCTCACACATATCGAATGAGATTTGTGTGGCGCATATGTGTTTGGTGCCTCCTTGTACCAATATCTATGTGTTAAAATAAAATAAAACAAGTTGATTTGAACCTTTTTATCTAATGTTTTCTTCTTCTTCATCATCATCATCTGGGTTTATTTTTTAATCTTTTAGGGTGATCGTGCTGGTATTTGTGTATCACAATTAGATTCAAATTTATTAGAACGTGGTCTTATTGGTGATATAACTTCAACGGAGAATTTAATTCCATGTTATGCATGTATATTAACTTGTATTAAAAAAGTATCCTATTTTAAATCATCTATTAAAAGTCAATCACGTTTACATATATTTATTAGTCAAGAAACTGTATTAAGTAGTTTAACATTTTTTACTAAAATAAAATCGGATAAACATTTAAATGGTATAGAAAATTCAAATGAATTTGATAAAACAACAATGTATCAGTATGTTGATGAGATTTCTAATGAAACAGGTTAGTTAATTAATTAGTTAGTTAGTTATTATGTTTCTATGTATTAATATAAGATACAATTGACTTGGAATAATTCATAAACAGTTCCCATTTTGTATATTTAAATTTATTTATTCAAACACATAAACATTGGTACAAGGAGATACCAAATAGATATGCACCACATAAATCATTCTATTTATGTAAGGGCTATAATATTGCTCGGGTGCCTAAACCGAAGTAGATGGTTTTCTTAGGGGGGCCACACCTGGAGCCTTCAACCTAAAGGTTTGATCCACAAAGCAGTGAAGCAACGTCAGGAAATGCAGTTATTTTTATTTGAACACATATATATTGGTACAGGAGTGCGCCAAATATATATGCGCCACACAATTTCAGTTCATTAATTGCGTGTGGGCTGCGTTACTGCCCGGGTGCCCAGACCGAAGATGGTGGTTATCTTAGGGAGCCACACCCCGAGCTTTTGACCTAAAGGTCTAACCCACAAGGCAGTGGAGCATCGTAAGGAGATGCAGTCCCATGGTAGCCGGTGACCGAAAATTGGTTCATACGCCATTTGTCCCCACAGGATACTGGAGCCCATGTGCACCATTGGTTTGGAATCCGGTTAAAGCGCCGGACATTCGCTTTTCGTCCTCTCATTTTTGTAAACAACACCCCCGCCACGAGAAGGCAGTGAGTAGGACTTCCCTGGCAGAGGCTGTTCCATAGTAACCAGTGACCAACAATAGGTTCATACGCCATTTGTTCCTTTAGGATCCTGGAGCAAATCCATGTGCATGTTTAGTTTGGAATGAGGGTTTTTCAACTCCCCTAGGTGGACTCTCTGTGTCCACCTACCCGATGAAAGCGTCGGACCTTTGCTTTTCATCCTCTTAATTTTGTAAACAACAGTCATGCCACGAGAAGGCCGTGAGTAGAACTTCCCTGGCAGTGGTTATACGCACGTGGCCATGTGAGAGGGAGAGCGGACTCTCGCCCGTACCAGGGGATTTGGCGAGGGGATTCAATTTTTGGATTGGCAATGATTAAATGGTAATATGAAACCATCTGAAATTTCACTTGTCATCCTTTTATATCTATAGGAGTGCTAATTTAAACGTATTTACAAATCCCTTGATGTTTTACTTGAATCTTCCCATTGATGTTTTAGGACTGAAATTGATCAGTCTCTTATTGGCATATGTGCATACTGTGCGTATGCCTCGATTGACTTTTTTACACTACTTTATTGATTATTAGTCGTATCTTGTGTATTTCTATTTCCCGGTCATATTAATTGATATATGTGATATTCGCCTACTTAATTCCTGCAACATGAAGAATAATGTGAAAGCTTCATTTCTTATGTTATCTAAACGTACCAAGTTATTAAGGAAAAGAATTATCATTTAAGTGAAATGGGATAAATCATTCGTCCAGTGCTTCCAGGTTTTCAATGGTGGTCCAGCTTCAACTGACTTATGATTTCAACCTGTGACATTCCTTCTCAATTGAATTTTATCTTATATTAAAAGTAAAACTCTTGTGTTAATCTCATATTTTTTTTCCTTTTTCTCCCCTTATCACTTTTAAATTAGATGATAATCTTTATCTATTATTGGAATTTGAACATCCAATTATTTGTCCAATGAATGGATTAGCTATTGGCGCTAAATTAGATACCTATTCAATAAGTAGTTGTCGTATCGCTTTACATGGACGTGTTTTAGTACAATTAAATGATTCAAATTATAAATCAAATTATTTAACTAAATTACTTGTACGTTTTTTTTGTTTTCTGTTTTTGTCTCTTCCATTAACATGCTTCATCAGCAAGGCTTTTAATTGATGATTTAGATTAAGTAGTATTGTGATGTGTGCTACTTATATTGACATAAGTAGTATATGATATTAGTCGTGAACAGAAGGTCTGGTAGCAGAGAGACAATAGGATCGAACAGTAAAGAATGGTAACAGGATGCAATTTGTATGAAAATGCAAGAACAATGAAATCTGAGTCATTTTGAGATAATTGGTGAACATTTTGCAAATTAAGCATTTACTCTAGGATTGTTAACTTTTATTAACAAGTCCTGTAATTTTGTGTTGAATGGATTCGATTGTCCCCACCCGTGTTCTCTTCACTACAGTATTATCAATTTTCGCATATATTTACATAGGTGGCTCTGTATAGGTAATATATGTGTTAGGTGATTGAAAGTCGTTAGACTTGGGTTTCGCTCTGGTTGATACTTATTAGCAAGGTCCACTTAAAATTTTAACGAAACTGATCTTTCCTAACGGGATTCTAGTCAACATCAACATGCAACTTCACAATATATGATATCACCATTGAACTATTCTGGTTACAAATGACTTGTAGAACTGAGATATTTACCAATGTCTAGCACATAATAACGCTCTAATTCTACCAGTTAGGTTCTTGAGTATTACAGACATAATATTGATTGGGATCTTCGAAATTGGCTGTAACGCTCTAAAAAAACCCAGAAAATACTGAATACAATATCGAGTCATTACAAGTTGGTAGCCACATTACAACTTGATCAACAATATTATTTCAGGTTTATAGGGGGGGGCTCGACGGACTTTTATTACCTACCTGCTGTAATTTAGACAATTAATCTACTATGTAAACGTATATGTGAGTCTGGTTGAAAACAATGTAATTCAACCTTTATCTCTCCTCTCACTGGTTGTCAACTCAGATAATCAGTAATTTATACACAACTGCTTAACACTTATAAAATGTATTAAAGGTATTTCGACTTTTGATTCCTTCATTTCCTAGTATCATTACTTCTCTCATGTTTGTGTGATTTATTAATTATGAACGACACACAACATCTGGTTCTTTGACTTTTGAATATTTCCAAGTAAACTCATAATGCAGTGAATGAGAACACAAAGTGGGGATAATTGAATGTATTTCAATACAAAATTATAGAACATCTTAGTAAAATCTGAGAATCATACAATAAAATACTTCATTTGCAAAATGTCTATCAATTGCCTCAAACTAGACTGTTCCTTTTGCAAACATAAGCCAATCGTCTTAAACTTCATTGTTCTTTTGTTCCCACAACAATCATTCTTAGTTCTCATTCTGTTCTTTGATCTTTATAAACCCAGACATTTCATTTTCGATTGATGATAGATACTACTTATATCTGTCGATATCACTAATACTACTAAGACAATTAGTCTGTTAAAACACTAAATAACGGGCTATCATGTATTGGAGTTGAAAATGAAGAGGAATTAACTTCTACACGGTGAAACTAATTTATAAACCACCTTTGAGTGACACCAAAGTGACCTTGGGCATGTCCTCCAACTAACTAGGACTAGACGAGTGTTATAAATCAGTGTGAGGAATTAGAATTATGATTTATACTTGATGGTTAAGGTTATGAATTAGATTTAGGGTTTTCATCACGAACTGACATCATCTAAAATGCTAACACACTATTTAGCCAAATGGATGAATGAATTTCGCGTCAAAATTCATAACTTGCTACCGATTAGTTCGTTCATCAATTGTTGTGTCATCGAATCTTGTCTTAAAATTCATTTCAATCGAACATGCATCCTTCATGAGGTTTTGTTTTGCTTTATACAAATGCATTTTGACAGCTGAAGCCCTACATATATGAGCACACTTAAACAACATGAATAGGAGAGATGGAATATAGTTTTTTTTTTAATACTTAGATCACTATCACACTGATTATTGTGTATTGACCTTTCTCATATATGAATAGAGGTTGTATTTTAGAAATTTCTGTTTACTAAAGGCTATTTTATAGTTACCCTTTTGAAAGTCTTAGTATTTTCCCAGTCAAGCCGAACAGTTTTTGATGTTTTGCAATTATTCATATATGGTATCACATCCATTCAAGTCTTTTTCTCATAATTATCAGAAAGGAGTTTTATGGATATTATAGTATAATTTTAATAGTTGATTTCACGAGTCAATTGAAGCTAGACCATCATGGAAAACGTGGAAGTGTACTGGACGGTCGTTTTGTGCTAGTGTGGGACTCCTCAACACTGCTCATTGACAATCCCACCTCGCGAGATTCGAACCCAAGACCTATCAGTCTCGCATGTGAACGCTTAACCTCTAGATTCAGTGGTCGGGATTTTTCTCATTAGTTGTAATTTTGAGTGTCGAATGTTCCAGTATTTCAGTTTTTACCATTATAGCGTGGTTATTTAATGGTATACTTAATTTCTGCAAGTGCTCTTTTTGACGTATATTTGTTTCTCTTGTAAGAATAATTTGGGTTTTGTGAATCCATGCCATTTGAGTACCACCAATTCGAAAACAAGAATTACTCTCTAAGTGGTCATCGTTTAATCACACCCAATGGAGGTTACTGATGAGATTTTCACTTATCTAATTCTAATGATCCATACTTCTATACCGAAGACTCAGGGATTATTTTGGGAAAATTCATAATCCAAATAGTCTCTTTATCATACTTGATCTTTTTTTTGGTGTCATAATTCTTACTGTTTTTGTAGGTATGTAAATCTAAAACTCGTCGTGGTCAACTTGAACGAATTGTTAATCCACGAATGTGTATTGTTCATGGTTTATTTAAACGTGAAACGAATTGGGAAATATTTGTTGGTTTACGTGCTTATTTAATTATTAAATCACATGAAGATTCTTCTGAACATATTCAACGTATATATGGTTATATTGAATCTAGTTTTGGTCAAAGCGGAAAATGTCGTTTAGCTTTAGAAAGTATGTTTATTTAATTCTATATCTTGATCAGTTTAAACTAATCTACTCATTTATCAAGTACAGAATCAGTATACTTTACTTTAAAATGCAATTCAGCTATCAGGATTATTGGATACTACATGGTTGTCTAAACCAAATTAGGTGAAGCTTGTTGTTAATCTGCTACTTAGTGTCTTAAAGCTAAACACCTTGACTACTGTGACACACTCTACTTTAAATGAAGTGTATTAATTTTGGTTGATCATTCGATAAAGTAAACACTAAAGAAGCATGGGTTGACCTTGGGTTTTTATCTGTTCTGTACACTTTCTTCAGTTAAGATGTCTAATTGTCTGAACTGATAGTGTAGTGAACAAGAACACGGGTGGGGACAATCGATTGTATTTAGCATAAAGATTACAGACTATCTCAATAAAATGTGAATACCATAAAGTCAATCGTCAATTTGCAAAATATCATTCCATCATATCAAACTGTACTGTTCCCGTTGCAAACACTAATCCATTGTCTCTCATTCCATTGTACATGCGTTTTCTTACAATTCCATTGTGCTCTTGCTCTTCCTTTCTTGATCTTCGCCATCTTCTGCTGCCGGACCTTACGTTTATTTAACGCACGTTATATACTACTTATATGAATATAAGTAGCTCACACCACAATAGTAAGTTTATGAAATGATGGTAAAACCATTAAATGACCCATATTTTCAACATGTCTCCATAACTGTGTAGCAGCTATTTGGTTTGATTGTTTGTAGCATTAATATTTAATAGGGTTAACTTTATTGATTAACATTTTGCTTATTGCTTCTACTGTTCGCATCACCCTCTATCAATAACATGGTACCACTAGATTATGGTGTAAATGTTCACATGTTTATGTGTGGTTTTAACTCATTTCTCACTTTCTGATTCCATTTCATTAAAACCCATAATCCTTTCACAGAATTTCATCTTATAATCGGATGTGTTGTCGAAGTATCTATTTTTCCTGAGAAAACATTTCAATTTATGATCTGTTGTTACTAATTGCCAAAAGTTTTTTTAAGAAGTTATCAACAAAGAAAGATGTACCCTACAATCATAAATGTCAAAAGACTACAATTGTTTCCCTCAGTAGCTTTTAAATGTAGTGAACGAGTGAATTGTTTTTCTATGTGTCTTGGTTACTGTAGTGCAGGAATTGGATGAGAAAACGGTCACTTTATTAGGTGGATGGTTGCTTACTTATCAAAGCACCCAACTCTCAATTACTGAATTACGTGTTTGAATCCCACTTCACTCTGGTTCAGGTATCTAAGTCTTCTTACTTATTTACTTACTTACTTACTTACTTACACCTGTTACTCCTCGTGAAGGAGCATAGGTCGCTCACCAGCATTCTCCATCCAACCCTGCCCTGGGCAATCCTTTCCAGCTCCTTCCAGTTGTAATTCATCCTTTTCATATCTGCTTCTATTATCCGACGTAATGTGTTCTTTGGCCTTCTTAGTATATACTAATTAGAACTCTTATTTTTATTTTGTATTCAGATGTGTAGTTAAATAAAGTGAGTACAGTAACTATATATGGCCTATTATTAACTTTATTGTATTCAGTTATCATTTATATTAGGAATATAATAAAACCACATTGTACACAATCACATCTACTTGTCTCATATTCTTCATTTAGATGATCTTCCTGATGAGATATTGGCACAGTATTCTTCAAAAGCCGGCAGAAAACAAATATCACAACCAGATATTGAAGTTATACTTGAATTCAAAAAAAATATATTTGATCCACAACGTCGTGTTATTCAATAACATAGATTGTGCAATACAATGGAATAATGATTATTTCATTATAGATTTGAAGTACTTTTTATAAATGTATTTTTGTATTTTTTTTTCTCCTTTCAAATTGTCCAGTACATTGATGTGTCTAGGTAACTGTGTTTTATAATTTTTATCGTAAAAGGACTTTGAATGAATGTGGTTAACATTTTCGTAGACCAGTTCAAAAAACGAATCCTTTAGAGAATACTTACATAGATGTTTTCGAATAGGGTTCATCATTTGAGGTGATATTGATATCAAGGAAAACACATTGTGTTTATTTGATGTGAATTCCTTGTTTACAAATGTACCTTTGAAAAAAAAAACCATTGATATATTATGCGATTACATATCTGTAAACAATCTTGGATACATAATTTAAAAATTCTTAAAGATTTACTGCTATGTACTAACAAATTTCAGTTCACTTTTGAAGGTGAATACTTTCGTCAGATTGATGGGGTTGGTATGGGTAGTCCGCTAGGACCATTATTAGCAGATGCATTCATGGCACATGTTGGAAATCAGACTGATGACCTAGTCGGAAACATGTCACTTTGTAATAAATATGTGGACGATATCTTAGTTGTTTGTGAGAGAAAAGAGGATATGTACGGTTTATTAAATAAACTCAACACTCCAAAACCATATTAGTCTCTCATGTGAAGAGGAGAAAAACGATCAGCTTCCCTTCCTAGATATACTCCTGAGTAGACGAGAAGATGGTTCAGTCAAGCGATCTATTTTCAGGAAACCAACGTGGACAGGTCAATATCTTAGTTATTATAGTTATTGTCCTGTGCAATACAAACGGTTTGATAATGTGTCTTTTCAACAGACTCGATAGTATTTGTACAACCGACGCCATTGATGATGATGTCAAGTTGTTAAATAAAACGTTAATAGAAAATGGTTATCCTCTGAAATTCATAAATAGATGGAAAGTCCATGGTGCAGCGAGACCTACTGTAGCCTTACCGTTCAGAGGTGATTTAAATGGCGTTTTATTGAAATAAAGACTTAAATCAGTCATCAATAAAACGTACTGAGCAGCAAAGATCATCATCAAAGAAAGAACAAGGTGCATGCTCCATCCAAAACCTAAAAGACATGAAAACGATTGCGTCACATCCCACTGTGTTTACCAATCCAAATGTGTGTGTGGTCACATACATAGGGAGGAGCAATCGTGCGTGAACATGCACCCAAATGGCTTCAGAAACAAATACAATCAAGTGACCCAATAAGAGCAGAGGATAAACATCCATCATCCTCTATTGCTAAACATATAATTGAAACAGGTCACAAGATTGATCTAAATTCAACTTTTGTAGTGCTGTATAAAAGTGTAAAAGGGCGTATACTAAGGTTTATTGAAGCCTTAGCAATACGAAAATCCTAACCCCCTTTATGTGTTCAAAAACAGTTTGTTCTTACCTTAAACCTACCCTGGTAATATTGACTTATTATCCAGATTAGGTTTTGCTTTGTGTTCACATTATTATTATTATTACTCTTATTATTATTAGCCTTATCTCCTCTTACCCCGTTTCCTGTCTAGTTGACCTTTTATTTTTATATATGAATGCTCTTAACAAGTACATGTGTGATCAGATTGTTCAAAATGTATTGCGCTAATATCTCACATAGTTCTGATAATCTTCGTCTTCTAATTACATTATTGGATAAGTCTAAATGAAAGTAACTCTTGTTATATTTCAAGTAACTTTGTAATTTGGAGTCAAAGGAAATATGTTTTAGAAAATGGGAGTATTTTTTGCAGATGACTATAATATTTACAAACAAACAACAATGTAAGGACATGTATAACTTTATAGAAAGTTCATTTAATTGGTCGTAAACAAATATCTTGTTGCCACTGTAGTTTCACACTCATTCAAGTAAATCTATCAATTTCACAGGTTGAAATCATGAGTCAGTTGAAGCTAGACCACCATTGAAAACCTGGAAGCACTGGACGGCCGTTTCGTCCTGGTATGGGACTCCTCAGCAGTGCGCACTCATTCTGATAAATCTATCAAGTTTCTAATTAACATTATAGTGATGTAGGTAGTAGATTATATATTTTTGTTATTAATGTCTGTCTGGGTTTTCCAAATTCTATTAAGGTTAATCCATAATGAAGTCGACCCATCTAAGTAAGAAGCTATGTTCATGTTATTGTTTCTGCAAGAGAACTTCGTAATATGGGTTTCAGACTTCTATGCCTATGGTTGTATATTCATTTCATTTTTCATCGTATCATGAATAAAGCTATATTAAACTGTCAAACCTGTGTTATGGTACATTTGGGTGTTTATGGTATTTCACGTAAACGTGTTAAATGAACATGATCGCATATTCATTTTGCAATACGACAACCAACTGATCATGTGACTGTCAAATACATTAGTTCAATTCTATCGGTCAACTTATGTTGTATGCTACCTATGTTGACAAATATAAATGGTTCATAACACCAGAAGTTGAATATCTCTCATAATAACATATAACTGGAGATGTTAGGAATGTAAAAAACGGGTATTTGTAATAATAATCATTTGACGAACCATGAAATATGTAAAGGACAGCTAAAGGAAGATGTGCAAATAATATGTTTAGTGTATGGTTTTCATATTTTACGAAGGCGCTTTTTGGTCTTCCTACATGAGTTCTCTGTTCACTACAAACTTGTGATTAATTCGAATGCCTTTCATATGAATCCTAATATTCCTTCGTTTGGTTGTTTGTTGATCATATCCCATTACTATTTTGATCTATTAGTATTTGAGACACGCTAACAAATTAACACCGGATGTTTCGTGTTCATTTTAATACGGTACAGATCTAACTAGTCCAACAGTCCTGAATTTAATTCATTACGATACAATTGCCGGATATTTTGTTGTCAGTGTCTTTTTTTATTCTAATGCAACTACTGGTGCTGGTGTCAATATGAATCCAATCATAAAGAGGTCTAATTCTGCTGTCATTTCGATCCGATTATGTCTTCATTATTTACTACTGCTGTATATGTTAATGAATTCAATTACTGAAATATATATTCAAGAGCGTTTGTTATATTCTGTTTCTTAATTCACTGGTAATCGCTTATGAGGTTATGGGACATCAAAATGTTTTCTGCCTATTGTCTCTACCTGTTGCAATGGTACAATATGATCCCTCTCTGCCTTCCACAAATCTGATCTAACTGCATTTTGTTGTAGCCTTAGTTCAACCGAGATAATTAGTGATCCGTAGCACCATTTCTAAATCCTAGTTACTTTAAGTGTACGGAAGATAAATGAAAAAGCAACAATGTATAATTGCGCGAAACTTTGTAAGGTGAATTTTAGTTTGGTGTGCTTCATTTGCAGCCGCAGCAGTTAATAAATCATCGAAGTAAATAATCCTGTGAGTCATCGACGTTTGTGCTGACCTCATTAGCCTCACAAGGTCACAAGTGAGTGTGCTGTGCTGCTCATCCCTCGCAACTACTAGCCAGCTCAGATCAAACTTCTTAACATACTCAGTACTTTGTATATATATCTGGTTTTGCTGGGTTTGGTATCTTTCGTTCATAAGTGTTACAAACAAGTTTGTTGTGTTAGCTCTGGACGTTTGTAACATAGAAGGTTTTGCTCAATTTATACTAAGATTTATGCGGATAGCTCTATATCTTGAAGATTGTAGACCATGAACGAAAATAAAACATTTGAACTGGTCATCCTATGTGGATCACAGCTTAAAAGTACCTGCGTAAGTGACAAGTTTGTTAAGTTCTTCCACTCTAGGCCTTTTGCGTTGACATCACATAAAGATAAGTGAAAACTAATCTCCCAAGTTCTGAAACAGTGTTTCTTGTGCGCCTCCAAAGTAACAATCGTGTGTTTAGCATGAAAATGTGGTACTTTCCTAGCCATTTGGTGCCAATTTTACGCATCAATGGTCGTGATTCATATACTCTATTCTGGTTTTCAGAAGCAAATCCTCCAACGTTTGAAACAAGTCAGAGACAGTTTCGGCAGACGGGTGGCTTTTCAGCTAATGAGAAAACCATACTTATTTATACAAGATTTATTGATACGAAGCAACGAAACAATAATAAAATCACTATTTGGAATATCAACCCTCGCATATCGAGTCATTTCTCGTAGTAAAATAGAAAGGCTAAGTTAAGGTATCGGGAGACGGGCTTGTGCGAGTTACGACAATCTCCTCGGAATAATTTTTATAAACTAACGTCATTTTTATCCAAAATACATAAGAGTTAGTTACTAAGGGTTGAGCTGTGTCAAGTTTACAAAAAACAACCAGAGTTTTCAGCGCAAACTGACATCAGCTATGGCTCGATGCTTCGCATCTCTTATGTCCTTAGTAAACCTGAGCTTAAGATCCAAAGCACAAATTCTAAAAAGAAAATATTACCTAGCTTCACTTAACACTCTCAAAGACCTACTGAATCACATCAAGTAATTTAAAAAAGTAATCTAACGTATGAGCAGGTAGTTTCTGTCATTAAATTGGTTAATTTTTGAACTTCACATTTCCGTTCATAGGAAACAGTTTATCGGTTCCAAGCACATGGGGAATCAACTACTGATAATTTTCATTTCGTCAATATTAACAAACAGGTTATTAATCTCTGTAGCTTGTCACATATACGCAGAAGGCACTTTGTGTACCAAGGCAGTTTGCTGATGGCTGTAAAAGACAAGGACAAAAGGAAAGTTCAGTCAGGAATCCAGCAAGAGCACACGATGCACTTGCATTTAATAAGGGAAAGGAGATGAAATCATCAACAATAGCATAGACCTCATATTAGAACAATCGTGTTGTCAAAACTTGAAGTGCATCATTTGACACACAACATCTTGCACCTTGCGTTTCGTTCATAATACATTTCGTCTTGTCTCAGTTCTGATTGACCAACTCAACGTCATCAGTAAACGAAACTGCCTATTGATTTGTATTGCTTCCTATATAACGCGAACGAATTTCGTGAGTTCAATGAATGGTCAACTAAGATTTTACCATGTACCTTGTGTGTAGCGTCGTTATCGCACGCGCTCAAATGACACTGTAATTATCTTCAGACAAGACGCAATCCGGTTAATTATGATAAAGATAGTAAGATAATTACTTCAGCTCCAAACGTCCTCCAACTCATAACTTTCATAGTATTGAGAATGTAGCCGTCAATGTATCCCGAAAGTAAACACTTCTCTAAGTCTTCGACATTGATGCTGACGTTATTTGTTTCACTGGACACATTCTATCTGTAGGTGCAGAGTCACTCATCCGCACCAAGTTACGTTTAACTACTACGTGATATTCACCTTTTGCGACCACTAACAAACTTCGAATAAACGCTTCTCAACACATCACAACCTTTCAAATGTATCTTCGAACTCAATAGTTCCTGACTTCTGATTTCATTGAGTTGGTACTCTTATATTTCAGAGATGTTTCGGACAAGAGATTTTTCCAACCCTGAATATATGTGGCACTATTTGAGGCATTTTCGACAGTCAACACCAAAAGATCAGGGGATTGAATTATCACGGCAGTACAGTACTCTATCACATATAACAACTAGTCGATTAAACAGGGAGGTATTGTTGAAAAAAACATTTGAAGAAGTAAAAGCAAATTTCCATTGTTTTAGACTATCCTCACTTGTTATTTCTGGTGTTTTGGAGGTTTATATTTCATATCTGTATGTCTCACAAAGTTTTGTGACTAGAAGGAAAGCCTACAAGGAAATAGCAATAACGCTTATTTTTTTCCCTCAAAGCAGTAAGAAAAGAACTCAGGTAATTCAAAAGCTTCCTAATAATTAGACTTGGGACTCAGGGAATAATGTGTTCGCATTTCCTGGCGAACTTTGAGGATTGAAGCTCCAACGCGCTATTTCGTCATCTGCGGAACATGTCGGAAATTCGGACTGTAATGTGTCTATACTAAAAGTTAGTATTTCGGTTAATAATATTGTGTTACACTACAAATAGTTCCTTAGAGTAGACTATACTAGAAATTTCAGGGAGTCACAAAATTTTGTACTTGGTATTTTGTAAAGTGTTAATCTCGGGGTTACCATGGAAATGAGCCCATTCGTTCTTTTTACAGCCTTGATATATATTCAAATCCACTTGTTTAATCAACTGGAAATTATCTTTTTTTCTGTAAGTTGCCATGCTGACTTAATCAGCAAAAAATTGTGATATCCTGGATTTAATTACGTGTAGGTGATCAGAAAATTTTTTTTGAAACAATTGATTGAAACAATTGAAACAATTAATTGTTTCTTGCTACAGCAAAACATCAAACTGATTATCATGATAGTCAGCTTGATTTTATTTAAACGACTTGTTGCAAAATGTCCTCTGCACATAATACAATGTATTAAAAAGGACAGTGGTATTTTTCCTCTCTTAGTAAATTTTATTGTTTTGATCGTTTATCACGTATCAAGACTACTGTTTTCATTTTGATTGAATTTATTTCAGTTAAAGTATCGTTTACTGTTTCTCAATTGGTTTATCGTCGGTACTCTTGAGTACCTTATTTTCTACTGTATCTGTTAGTACTTTTGGTCCTAACAATCTACAGTTCTCCACTTTTATTGTCATAGATCATTTTTTTGTCTTTGAGCATAATTGCATCTCGCTCTTTTTTCAAAAAGAACCCATTTATAATGACCGGACAGTGCAAAAAAGCAGTTTCCAACGTCCGGGTTGTCGTTATCCCGTTGAAATCGGCATGCAGTGCGATCGGTGCAAAGGCTGGTACCACGAAGTTTGCACGAATTTAATGCCTGCGGCTTCAAAACGGTTCAGTAGAAAGGGCTGTGTATGGCTTTGTCAATAATGCTGTTCGGATGCAAACAACTTGCTAACCGAGGCCATCTCACTGCTAGATTCTGCGAAAAAGTGTTTTAGAAAGCGTAGTCGAGACAAATCAAACAGCACTCGCTCTGTCGACACGCAAATTGATATGAAGCAAACTCAGGTGAGTTCGAAAATAGGTGACTCACACCGATCAAAGAGGGAAAAACAGTCTCCAAAGAGGTCTGTCTTTAACAAAAACTCAAGAAAAGAATGTTCTTCTGTTTCCCGTCATTCAAATGGCATCCAGCAGGAAACGCCTAGAAGCCGCAATCGCAAGGCTCGATTGGTTTCTAGCGGGAAACATAACCTGACCTCCCAAGTCGTCGACAACCCTCTGGAATCCCACAGTATGTTTGACGCAACTGTTGTTGCTTCTCCTAGCACCGTTGACGAATGGGTACAGGTTGTAAGGTAGAAACAACGTAGCGATATAAACGACAATCCTGCCCCCATCAAAGTAGTCGAAAAATCGAAGGCTGATCACAGCGACAGATCAGATATTTTTCATAGAATCAAGGAGAGCGAGAGCTCTGAACCAAAAGCTCGTTTTGAGCATGACATTGTGCTGATTAAACAGCTACTTAATCAACTCATGCCTCAAAATATCACCGGGGTCACCTTGCTAAAGGTGTACAGACTAGGGAGTCTAGCGAACTTGAAACCAAATCAATCCAGACTGCTTAATGTAGTATTCGAATCTTCGAACGAACGCGACCTAATTTTACAGAATGGACATAAATTAAAGGATTCAGCAGTTTTTATCCGTAAAGACTTGCCGTTGACAGACCGTGTAAAAAGATGGGAAGCCGAAAAAGAACTACAACTTAGGTTAGACGCTGGCGAAAAGGACCTGACAATTGTAAATTTTCGGGTTGTAAGGCTTCGACAGAGAATGATGCCGAAGCCACTCTGGGTGAAGCACGAAGCCATTTAAATAGGCTTCGGATCTGTTACACCAATGCACGAAGCTTACTTAATAAGCGATCGGGACTAGGTGTACAGATTGACTCTACAAAGGCAGACATAATCGCAGTAACAGAAACCTGGCTGACACAGTCTATAGATAGTATGGAACTTGATTTCGAGGGTTTTACGTTAGTAAGGGCTGACAGAATACAAAAGCGTAAAGGAGGGGGAATAGCCTTTATTCATTAGGAATGCTATTCCATTATCGACAGTGTATCGCATGAGAGTGGGACGTGTGATTTAGTTAGTTGCCGCTTGAAATGCAAGGGACAAGAGCTGCTGATTGGTTTGGTCTATCGCAGTCCAAGCTGTGAGGTAAATAAGATCCTGTTAAGCAGTCTCAATACTTGGTCACAAAGTGGTCGATGTCTAATTCTAGGGTACTTTAATGCACCAATGGTACACTGGGTAAATCTGCGAACTGAATCGTCAGAAAATTCCTTCGAGCAGGGACTGGTTGATGCAGTTATCACATGTGCCCTAGTGCAACATGTGCAAAAAGCGACAAGGTACGACCCGGATGCTGAATCATCCTTACTAGATCTTATACTGACTCACTATGAGGATGATGTTGCGAACCTCTATTATATGCCACCCCTAGGTAAAAGTGATCTCACAGTTCTAACTTTTGACTTCCATATAACTGTCAGTCACGAGCACCCGTCAGTCCAATCCGGACCTAACGTCTGGAAAGCAAACATACCAGTTATCATGCACTCAGCGTCGTTAGTAGATTGGACAATAGACCCAGAGTCCTCAATTGAAACGGCCTGGGATGCATTTCGAAATTCATACTTAAGAATCACCACACTCCACATCCCTTGGACTATACCAACGGGGCTGAGAAACTCCCCACCATGGTTCAGTAGGGAGGTCCGCATCCTTCTCCGTAGGAGAAGAAAAATGTGGGATATATTTAGGTTAATGGGGACTGATAGGACAAAATCTCAGTATCAAACAGCTCGGAATACCTGTGCCTCGACCCTCCGTAAGTCTAGAAAGTTGCACGAAGAAAAAATTGTTAAGGAATCCATAGAATGTCCGAAACGTTTGTATTCCTATATAAACCAAAGGACAAAGAGAAGAGGAAATATTCCCACTCTATGGGAAGACAGCACTGCCGCATCATTAGTGGAGGACGACTTCGGTAAGGCCCAAGTGTTCTCGAAATACTTTAGCAATGTGTATACCATAGAAGCACCCTTCCCGTCAGTGTACACAGATTCCCCTACACATACACTGGATAGCGTGACCATTAAAGAACTCGATGTCTTTGGTCTACTAAATAAGCTTGACATAGGTAAATCCACGGGGCCCGATGAATTACATCCTAGGCTACTGAAGGAATTATCTAACTTCGTTGCGAACCCTTTAAGTATATGCTTTAACCTATCCGTAACACAGGGTCGTTTACCAAAAGATTGGAAAAACGCCATAGTAGGTCCTGTCTTAAAAACAGGTACGAAACAAAAACCTGCGAATTACCGCCCCGTCAGCTTAACTAGTGTGGTTGTTAAAATCTTGGAAAAAATTATTCGGAAGGAGCTGTTTAAGTACCTCGATAAAAACCGGATCCTTTCGGAGAAGCAGTACGGTTTCAGAATAGGTTGCTCTTGTCTCACTAACTTATTAGTGGCTCGTGAAAGCTGGTGCGCTCTTAAGGACCAAAAGTTACCTGTAGACACAGCCTTCATTGATTTCAGCAAAGCTTTTGACAAAGTTCCGCACAACTGGCTGTTATATAAGTTAAGAAATGTCGGGATTGGAAGCAATCTATTTATGTGGATAAAAGACTTCTTAGTTGGGCGTCAACAAAGAGTAAGGGTGAACTCAAAGTTATCTAGCCGGGGAACTGTGCTTAGTGGAGTTCCCCAGGGTACAGTTTTGGGGCCAGTGCTATTCCTCTTGTATGTAAATGACCTTCCTTGTCTCCTATCATCATCGGTCTTGCTATATGCTGACGATGTCAAGCTATGGAGAACGATACGATGTAAGAGTGATAGCTTAGAACTTCAAAATGACCTGAAGAAGTTATCTGAATGGTCTCAAACCTGGCAGTCGCCGATAAATACTTCCAAGTGTGTTGTGATGCATATCGGTCATCAAGGTACAGATAAATACACGATGAATAACGCTGAGCTACCTGTCCTCCAGACATATAATGACTTAGGAGTTATCGTTAGTCAAGACTTAAAGACTACTGCACACTGCCGTGCAATAGCCGCCAAAGGTTTTAGAACCTTATGGTCAATACGTAGAGCTTTTAGTCATGTCGACGCTAAAACGTTTTTGACTCCGTATACAGTGTTCGTTCGTCCTAAACTTGAGCACTGCATACAAGCGGCTAGCCCCTGCTTAAAAAAGACAGTGCGCTTCTGGAAAAGGTTTAGAGAACGGCGACTAAGCTGAACCTTTTCCCGTTGCCATATCGCAGAACTAGAGGCGACTTGATTGCAGTCTACAAATTGCTTAGTGATAAATTTGCACCTGATATGCCCTCATTTTTCTTGTCTCCCAAATCAGAGAATTTACGAAAACACTCCAAAAATGTTCACAGGCCCAGAACAAATTACTTGTCAGCTGACCATCGACTTTCCCATCGAATCATCAACGAGTGGAATTCATTACCTCAGCACGTGGTTGAGGCTCCATCCGTCGACTCTTTCAAAAGAAAGTTGGATCAACTGAGAGACCACCCTTGCCAGAACTAACACAGGCCATCAAGCCTCCTGTCCTTCCCAAACTGAAACTGAATCAGTTTCCATATTGTTTGCTCTTGGTTCAGGTTTCGGTTGTTGTTCGTTCGTAAAATGTTATGTTATGAACACAACATGGGGTGGCGGGCATAGTTCTTTGAACATTCCTACCACTATCTATCTCCGCCTATGCCGGGACAGATTGTAGCCCGGATGCAATCAAGGGTGAATTCTACAACCAATTAAATGTTCTTATCCAGAAAGTGCGTTCGACAGATATTGTAGTACTAGCCAGAGACTTGGATGCTCAGGTCGGGCGTCTAGGCACAGAAGAGAGTCGTTTAGGTGGCCGATGGGGACTCGTTGGTCGCAAGTCAGATAACGAGGACCGTCTACTGCAACTTTGCACAGACCACAACCTGCTTCTGGCTAGCACTAACTTTCGGCACAGTCATCGCCGATATGCCACCTGGCGTCCTCCCTCTGAATCTCAAGCCTGGACTCAGATTGATCACATTGCGATCAGCTACCGCTAGCGTGTTTGTGTACAAGACTGCCGCTCCTTTTGGAGTACCTATCTGGACTCTGATCATGCCTTGGTCTGCGCCAATCTTACCTTACTTTTCAGTGGACAACGGAGTGACCGCCATCAACGGATTGATATTAGCAAGCTGGTTGCAACTTCTGTTGCAAGTAAGTATCGAACCGAGCTAGCTTCTAGGCTAGCTACCACTCCACCGAAAAGTATAGATGAGCATCGGTTGCAATTGCATGACGCCATGAAAATGGCGGGTACAGTCAGTTGTGGGTTTGCGAAACGTCCCGCTTATAAGCACTGGGTTTCTTCTGGTTCCTTACAACTCATTGAAGCCCGTCGGTCTACTCCGGGTGACCGTGAGTGTGACCATAAACGAAGGATGTTACGTAATGAAATCAGGCAAAGCTTGCGTAAGGACCGAAAAGCCTGGTGATCAGAGCTGCTAATGAGTTGGAAGCAGCAGCTGCATCTGGTAACTACTGGTAGCTCTTCCAACTCATCCGAGCCACTGGCAGGAAGAAGTCTGGTGTGAGCGAAACAATCTGTGAGGATGACGGGATACCAATCACTAACATCCATTGACGTCTTGGACGATGGGCAGAATTCTTCGAAGGGCAGTTCAACTGGCCTGCTGCTCCAGCAGCATCGGTCAGACTGTCCTGCCCTCCATGGCCGGTGACGACTGATCCACCAAATGAGGCGAAAGTCTGCAAGGAAATCCAACTCTTGAAAAACTACAAATCACCTGGCCCAGATGACTTACCTCCGGCTCTTTCTAAAGATAGTGAAGACTTTCTGGCTAAGGAACTGACTGTGTTGTTTGTAAAGGTCTGGGAACTAAAGCGTGTACCAACGTCATGGAATGAGTCGATAGAAGTGGTCGAGAAGTTCGTGTATCTAGGTAGCTGCATAAGTGCTGGTGGTGGCGTGAGTGATGAGATCAATGCACGTATAGTGAAAGCCAGAGCGGCTTATGCCAATCTGGGTCATTTTTGGCGCCTTCGTGATGTCAGTCTGGCTGTAAAAGGTCGGATCTACAACGCGTCGGTGAGAGTAGTTCTGCTCTATGTTTGTGAAACCTGGCCTCTCCGAGTTGAGGATGTTAGACAACTCTCTATGTTCGACCATCGTTGTTTCCGAAGGATTGCTGACATCCAGTTGCAACACCATGTCAGTAATGCAGAGGTTCGGCATCGTGTGTTCGGGCACAGAGACGATAATGCAATTGGTGTCACCATCTTGAAACACCGACTTCGGTGGCTTGGACATGTTCTATGAATGTCGTCCCTGAGAATTCCACGTCGTGCATTATTTGCCGACTCTGGGACTGGTTGGAAAAAGCAGAGAGGTGGTCAGTGTATGACATGGTGTCGTGGTATAAAAGAAATCTGCAAAGGGCTGGCTTCTGTTGGCCCTTCACAACTCCTTGTCTGGGATCCTAGAGATGGTGCAACACAGTGGCTAGAGACGTTATCAAACATGGCTCAGAATAGAAGCCAGTGGCAATCCTTCTGTAACGTTCGTTTACCTTCTTCATAAAAATTGGTTGTATCTTCCTTAACTGAAAAATTTCTTCTGGTTTTACCTTTCCGTTTCCCCTATTATTATTATTATTATTATTATTATTATTATTATTATTATTATTATTATTATTATTATTATTATTATTATTATCATTATTATTATTATTATTATTATTATTATTATTATTATTATTATTATTATTATTATTATTATTAATTACACTGCCTTACACTAATCTGTGGTCGTTATTGTTCATCGTTGTTTTCTCTTGCGCTCCTTACCTTTCTTTTTGCTCTTCCCATTCTCATTGTTTTTTGTGGCGCATATATATTTGGTGCCACTTCTACCAATATTTGTGTTCAAATAAATAAATAACGTTAGAGGTTGATTGTCCCAAAATTCGAACATCCTTATGATTCGGTTTAAATACCTTTTTATCCTTAATGTGATAATTCACTTGTTTTCTTGTTGTTAAAGGTCACTGTACTAGCCAAACGGAATTATTTTCATGCGTACATAGTGAACGCCGAAGTAATACCAAACAAATCAGGATTTTGGAACCTGGTTTCAGTTTTGAACCACTGCAATGGATATTTCCAACATTATTAGGGGTGTATTTATTCGAATCTTCTTGGCTTTACTTATACTGTCTGTCATCCTTAAAGTTGTGAAGGAAAAATTGTATGTTTCCTATTTAAGTAAAATAATTGGCTTTAAAATATAGCATCTTATGGTTGTATGGCCAAAACGCTGATTCGGGAATGTCTGTGTTAACAAGAGGATATATGATATCTGATGTATCAACAAAAAGGTTGAGAAATAGTTCTGTGATAACTAGCTTTCAGCCGTCTGGCAGTAATATGTATGGTGAGAGTTAATTACTATTTGACTGACAACTTTAGGTGATCCGATTCGAGTAACTGTTTCTAGCATTAAAGCTGTCGAGTTTTGTGTCTTACGTGATGTCTCATTGTCTTCTTTCCATGACATGTTGACTAGTGACCACAAAAATCTTAGAGATTATATTGTTACCAACGCTACCGAAAGACATACTGTAAAGTAAGTCCTTTTTGTTTATACTAACTGGATCCTAGACCTGGAAATCAAGACATATCCATACACGTGAACGTTCAGTCTTGCCCTGATCATTCGAAACGCGATAAATATTCAATTGTTATTTGTCTAGTTTCAAGTACTCTAGATTCACTGGATGAGGAAATAGTAAGTTTAAAAATTCGAATGTAAACTATATGGGACTTAACAGATGAACTAATGTTATTTTAAGCTTATTTGTAGTAACCGTAGTGCGAAAATGCATTCTTTGAACAGTTCTTTGTTCAGATAGTGTTTTTAAAATAACAATGTTTTTCCTGTTTCAGTAATATATATTGAATAATATTCACCTTATGACTGTCAGCATTATGGACATCACTTCAAATCCCTATATGTGACCAAATACAATAGATGGGTGCTATTCTTTTCCAGATAAATTTATTTTTAATGGTCTTTATTTCATCCCAGTTTATTGGCTGGTAACTCATGTTAAAGTGAGATCAGCAAGCTGTTTACTACTATTCAAACAATAATGTGCTTCTAACTATTCACCTACTTATAAACCTTATCTACTCTTTGTGAAGCCATTACTAATTACTGTCTGAAATTAGCTTCATTATATCTAAGCGAGCTTCCTGTATCCATTCCGAAATTTCTTTAAACATCAACCCATCAGGTGTTGATGCGACCTCTAGGATACGTAGTTGACACACTAAATTACTTCGCTTCCTATCATTAGTTTAGGCGCTGAAGCAGACCAGCCCTATAGCAACGTTTTGAAGGAGGTTAAAGTTTATCAAGTATTCCATGTATCATTCCGATCATTTACTCAGGAGCAGCTTAGGGTGAATAGTCACACCTATTGTCAAATTGAGTAAAGACAACTAATATGTGTAAAACTCAACTCAAGAAAATACCTCATAACTATTAGCATAATGATAAACAACGGTTCTTGTTATTGTTCCAATAAAATCTGTAAAGATGAAGAACTATGTTGATCAACAAAGATAGATTTCTGTTTAAATTGAGCTGGCGCATACAGATTATATGTTGTAGAGATTAAAAAAACTGGTTTCCGAACCCTGTGGTACAGACTGGATGAGTGGGATACAAACTATCTTTGGAATTCATCTAACATAAAAATCCTTCTAATGTTGCTCCACTACCTTGAGAATTAAATTTCCTATTAAGACGTTTAAGGGGTTCCTTACGAAAACACTTTGATCACTTGAGCAGTACTGCAGTTGTAAGAAAATTCATGACATTTGCCAATGAAGAAAACCAAAAATGATGAGTCGGATTTTCAAAAAGAAGTCAAATGTCCTGATGGTTGTTTCGTACATCAATCATTCATAACGATTCATGTCAATTTAATGATATCAAACAATCTTTTTTATTTGATCTTATTTGAACACATAAATGTTGGCAAAAGGGGCCACCAGATACATATGCACCACACAATAATAATGAGAATGGGAAGAGACAAAGAATGTAAGGTGCGTGTAAAATAAAAAAGAACAATAACGACCACAAATTAGACTATGCTAGTGAAATAATAATAATAGTGGGGGAAACAGAAATGTACAATCAGAAAGAATCCTTTCAGTTAAAGAAGTTACGATCATTTTTTGTAAAGAAAGTAAACGAAGGTTACAGAAGGATTGCCACTGGCTATTATTCTGAGCCATATCTGATAACGTCCCTAACCACTGTGTTGCACCATCTCTCGGACCCCAGCCAGGGTGTCATGAAGGACCAACAGAAGCCAGCCCTTCGCAGCTTTCTTTCATACCACGACACCATGTCATACACTGACCACCTCTCTGCTTTTTCCAACCAGTCCCAGAGTCGGCAAATAATAATAATAATGCACGACGTGGAATTCTCTTGGACGACATTCATAGAACATGTCCAAGCCACCGAAGTCGATGTTTCAAGATGGTGACACCGATTGCATTATCATCCCTGTGCCCGAACACACTATGCCGAACCTCAGTTACATCTGGTTAAATAACTTAAACTATGTTGTATTTCAAACGTTTTGTCATAAAAATGTCAGTTAGAAAATCATATATTTCAGTTTTATTATTATGAATTAAAATAACATTTCATACACAAAGTTCCTTTTTATTCACTTGAATGGAGCATGGACAAAGATTTGAGCAGAATTTAACATGAATTCATTTTGTTCAGTTAGTTTCTCATGGGGTGTTTAGAAAGTATAATATTTTAAAATCAGATTACACATGGAAGTTTATATCTTCATATAATTGTGGTGGCCAAGATTGAATATGTCATTAGTCCGTCGAAGCTAGACTACCATGAAAAACCTGGATGCTCACTAGTGACTGGCTTCAAGAGGTATATCCTGGAGTTCTAGTTGGAAGCAGTGATCAGTGGTGATCAATTGGGTCTGTTGTGAGATACTAACTCACTAAAAACATTGGTGGATGTATTGCTCAATTTCGTGGATTAGTTGAAGTTAGACATTAACTCAGTTGAATGCCGGCCCAGTGGTCTAGTGGTTAAGCGCTTGCACGCGGAACTGATAGGTCCTGGGTCCGAATCTCACGGGGCGGAATCGTGGATGCGCATTGCTGAGGAGTCTCACAGTAGAATGGAACGGCCGTTCAGTGCTTGCATGTCTTCCACGGTGGTCTAGCTTCAATTGATTCATGATGTCAACCATTAAAATTAAAAATATTAGTTGACTACATAATGAAGTAACTGAGTACTTGTTGGTACCATTTCGGAATAACGTGACTTGATAACAGTCAGTCAGAAATAAAATTAACGTTTGGAAGAATCAACAATGATGTAATAAAATGAAGATATTGTTACCTTGGTAAGAAAAGATTTGTCATTTTACCTGTAAGCAAATAAATTCATTTTAAGGAATCTGATTGCTATGAATTCAACAAATTTTAGAAGAGTTCAGTTATCTATTAGTTACTTTGACATATTGATCCAATTTGGTCGTTTCAGAATATTACATGCTACATAATTCATGTAAAGATTCGAGAAGAGGAACAAGTGAATACAAGTATCATGTATACATATTGGAAAACCAATTGGAACCGTCTTCTGACTCCACAAGTGAGTAAAACTATATTAGTGTTTTGATATTTAGTCGATCGAATCAAATCAAATATTGCATAGATTGACTAAAGTTGGCAAACTTTCGATCCATTTTCAAAGCTATGCATTCACAAATATATATTTACTTCTCAAAATTACAATAAAATGTTTGTCAGTAATGGTAATAATAGTATTAATAAGATTTCTAAACATTGTAACATATATTCACTTGTTTACTTGAATCTTTCCATTGATGAATAGGTCTGCAATTGATCAGTCTCTTTTTGGTATTTGTGCATAATGTGCGGACTGCCCGGATATTGCCTTGGGTCACATGCATTATATACAAAGATCGATAGTGGCTAGCAGTGGAATCCAGTTGGACGCGCGTCTCGTCTTATTTTGGACTCGTCAGCTGGATGTATCTGCGTCTGACTTGATGTTCATTCTGGGACTCGTACTCAGTACTGTTCGCTTCTACCTCCATCGCGTTATTCACTTAGATACTGAGTCCTGATAGCCACTTACTTGTGCGTCTTTGATTATAACGCTTGTGAATTAAGGTAATATTGAGGCAACACACACAGTATAAACCTATGTCAATAAGAGACTGATCAATTTAAGTCTTAAACATCAATGGGAAAATTCAAGTGATAAAAAACAATTCCAAATGAATTTAAAATTCACCACGTTGCACAAGCAAGTAGCTATCAGGATTCAGTAGCTAAGTGGATGACGCGCGATGGCGTTTGAAGCGAACGGTACTGAGATGCAGGTACATCCAGCTGATGAGTTTCAAATAGGACGTGACGCGTGTCAAACTGGATTCAACTGCTATCCACTATCCATCTTTGCATATTGTTATTAATTAGTTTTTCTTCTTTGTAGTTGTTTCATTATTAATATAAAACTACACTTTTTAGTCTGATTAACTGAAACATATTAAAAACTGTCTCCATTGAGTAGCATATGATACGCAATGCTAACGTAGAAATTTACAATTTATTGATCACTGGGTAGTGATCAATGTCATGTATGTCGGGTCCTTCTTAGTGCAGACCGAATCCTATCGACCAGGTTGCGATGTAGCCACTAATTTAGGTGACTCGACATTGCGTGCACTATGTTGAGATAGGATGGTGATTGGAGGGTTTCCTGTTGAATACCTCCAACCACTATCTTAGCGTAGAAATCGTTTACAATCAAGTTAGGGAGGCAAACGATAATATAAGTGTTAGTTCATTTAATCATCGACTGTTGGATTTAAACACATTGTTGATAACCCTAATCTATGATCATAGATGCTCAGTGATATCACTCAAAATCAGTGTTTGATGGCGTACTTTGGTTCAATCTATATCCTTCACTTTTCATATTGTTAATTCCCATCTTAATATATCGATATGTAGTGTAACAATTTAGGTTGATTCACATTTTTTTACCACTTTGCTTACTTTTGACTCATTAAGCATTTCATCTGACCACTCTAAGCAACAATGCAAACATGTTCGGGATGCGATTCTTCCCCTCGAAATGCAAAATCTTACTTCAGGATTTGGTTGCATCGACACGTTAACTAGTGATAGGGAGTGAAGTAGTTGAGCGTGTCGACCGCCTCACTTATCTCACTTGTGGTCTGGTGTGTGACGAAATCTCATCACTGATATACACGGCTCGACTAGCTTTAGCTACCTTGCGTCATTTATGGCGTAGGCGAGATATCCGTCTACCAACCAAAGGACGTGTTTACTGCGCAGCAGTTCGTTCCGTCCTACTTTATGGGAGTGAAACATGGCCGGTAAGAGTAGAGGATATTCGTAGGTTACTAGTATTCGACCATAGGTGTCTTCGAAGCATTGCTCTTATATCCTGGGACCATCGAGTAAGTAATGCAGTTGTTAGGAAACGGGTACTAGGTAAGGATGGCAAGTCAATTGATGACGTAGTGAAAATTCATCAGTCGAGATTGCTGGGACACGTGTTATGTATGCCCAACCACCGACTGCCTCGACGTGCTATGTTCAGTGGTATAGAAGTAGGTTGGAAGAAATCTAGGTACGGCCAGACCAAAACATGGCACAAGTCCATGAAGTTACTGACAAGTGGACTGAGCCATATTGGTAGGTGTAGACTACTTGGTTAGGATCCACGAGACGATAACAACCGATGGTTAGAGACCTTGAATGACATGGCACAAAATCCTTTGCAGTGTCACAGGTGCATCTACTCATTGTGTTCTCGCAAATTCTGATCTGAATTCTTCATGTTCGCCGTTTTTTCTATTTCCAAATTTATTTCAGTGGATTATACTCCTTGAATAACATCATCCCGACTACTGCCTATACTTTTACTACCTCTACCACTATGGAGTTTGAATTGACAATTGCTTCTCTGTCATATGGCAACTCGAACTGATGTACGTACGTGTGGAGTTCTACGTTGTTACTGACTGATTCATGATGCGTTGTTTGAATACAAACATTTAAATAGAGTTATCAGCATTGTTTCTTGATTTCAGGGTAATTTATGCTCAAATAAACAATGAACTGGTAACCTTTCCATAATGTCTCATTGTTTGTTTTTTCTTCTGTTTTGAATAGATCCTTTTTGATGCTGGTGAAAATATGAACACAATTGATGAAACTACTATTTTACCAACGAAAACAATCACATCATCTATAAATCATGATAAAGTTTGTCAAAAAACATGGCAACCATGTTGTTTCATATGTCTTTCTATAGAAACTACTTATAATCTACGTGTACTTTTACCATGTCGACATGCAGTGATTTGTTCAGATTGTTTTAAATCATTATATAAATCAGCAATGTTTACAGTAAATCATCATTTAATTGGATTTATTACTTGTCCAATATGTCGTACACCTATAAATTCAACATTATTATTACCTAGAATTAATTCTAATGATGAATTAGATAGTGAAGTCACTAATGTCATGAATGGTGATATCATAACTAATAATATTACAGAGATCTCTATGTAATTATGATTAGGTATAGGATCATTTATTTTCGTACAGCGTAATGCATTCATAACCAGTGTAAAATAATATTTTATAATCATTATATTATCTTTATTTTATTGATGTTTTCAAGGATATTTTTCAGTTATTTTTCTATTCATGTGAAGTTAACGTCGTAATTAGTTGTATATATGTCAGTCCCTTATGCCAATGAAAAACACACATTAAAATGAAACTACTTGTATTTTGTCAGTAGTATATTCCCGTAGATGATAAATATTATGAGAGGAATGATTTTAGATGTTACAGATTTGAAAAGCTTGGAAATGTATCCTGGAGCACATGGGCACTGTTGGCTTGGAACTAGAGTTTATCACCTTCCCTAGATGGATCATTTGTACCCACCAGGTCGGTTAAAACGCCGGACATTCGCTTTTCATCCTCTCAATTTCGTAAATAGCACCCCAGTGGCGAAAAGGCAGTAACTAGGACTTCTGTGGTAGTGGCTGTATACGCGTGGCCATGTTTGAGCATTTTGGGGGAGAGAGAGAGCTGTCTCCCCCCATTCTCGACCTAACCAGGGTATTTGGTGGCTTACGAAGACATTCTGTAATTTTGCACTAAACAATAAATTGGTGTCGTGCACCAGAATTCGCATTCATTGCAGTCGTGCTAGTCGGAGAATCGAATATTCAGTTTGGGCATCTAGATACAGAAGAGGGGCGTTTGGGTTGCTTAATGGGTCTTGTTGGTCGCAGGTTATGTAACGGTGACCGTCTATTTCAAGTTTGCGCAGATTACAACTTGTTTCTGGATAGCACTGACTTCCGGCAAATTCATCTCTGATGTGTTACCTGGCGTTTTCCCTCTTCATCTTAAATCTAGACACAGACTGACCACATTTCGATCAGCTACCGGTGGCGTGGTTATATACAAGACTGTCGCTCCTCTTAGAATATTTATCTGGACTCCGATCATACTCTTGTTTGTGCTCATGTTACCTTGCGTTTCAGTGGCCAACAAATTCATCGTCCTAAACGGTTAATTTTCAGCAGATTAGTTACAGTTTCTGATGCAACTAAATATCAAACCGAGTTAGGTTCACGACTAGCTATCATCCCACTGAAAAGTATAAATTTGCACTGGTTGCAATAGTATGGTTCCATGAAAATGGCAAGTTACGTAGCTTGTGACTTCAGGAAACGTTCCGCTTTTAAGCACTAGGTTTCTTGCGGTTCCTTACAACTCATTGGAGCCAGTCGGTTTATTAAGGATGATCGAGAGTTTGATCATAAACTAAGACTGTTACTCAATTAAATTGTGATAAGCTTGTGTAAAGTCCGAGAAACCTGGTGGTCGGAGCGTGCCAATGATTTGAGAGCAGTAACTACATCTGGCAACTGCTGGAATCTCAGTTCATCTGAGTCACTGGCAGCAAGAAGTCCGGTGTGAATGAATTAATGTGTGAAGGTGATGGAATGCCAATCACCATGATCTACCGACGTCTTGAACGATAGTTCGGGTTTTTCAAGTACCAGTTCAACAGGTCTGACGCCTCAGCGATACCGTTCAGACTGTTATGACGAAGTTTCAATGTGCCAACTGGTCTGTGTACTGTGTTGAGATGAGACTGTGTTTTCAGGTAATCATCAGAAAACTTTGGGTATAAGTTTCGGACTATTTATCACTCGTCAAGAAGACGGTGCTTTAATCATGAAGGACCTAATGACACCTTATGGGTTTGATCCATATCACCCAGCTTCACAGTTAAAGGCGTTACCATTGAGCTATCTTGGCCGCGATTGGGCTCCTATAGAACCTGAATAACTCATCTGTAACGTCTCTAACTGTGAAGCTGGGAGAAACGGGATCGAATTCCTCAGCGAGCATTAGGTCCCACATGATTACAGCCACTCCTTCTTGACAAATGTCAAATAATCCAAAACATGGATTTAAGTTTTCCTGTTGGCAACATCCAAACATCTCTCGATATTGAGCCATCTAGACTAGTAGCCAGATTGCAACTTGGCCGATAGAATTCGATCTGCACTAAGAAGGACCTGACGCACATAACTTTGATTACCACTCAGTGATCAATTAATTGTAAGTAATGGTATGTGACAGCAGTCCGTAAATAAATCACACATTTTATTTGGTACATTTTTGCTGTTAACTTGAAATTCATTTTACGTCGTATTTCCTAGTCTAAGTTTAGTAAAGGATCAAGCCTTTTTATCTGATTGTCAGATATTATTCTTCATGGAAACATTGTTATCAAATTCTTTCATAACCATTTAATCTAAAGTTCATAAAGCATAGAAATCTACTTCTATAAGTTAAAATCAGTAGAATGATTCATTTCATTTGAAATTAATCATGAAATATTCAGTAAAATTAATTGAATAATTTGTAATTGGTATAATGTGATCAACAAGTTAATTTTCACGATTTTTTGACACTTTTTCTATACTACTTAATCAGTAGTATAATTTTGTATCGAAAAATAATCTGAAAAGAGCATGAATACAAAACTGGTTGAAGTTTTGATGAATAGATCTGTCCTTAGTTGTGATCCTTAATATTATGACTAAAATGTAATCAAAGAAAGTAATTCATCAAGTAACAGATCTTTAGACAGCAATTCTGTACATTTTAATATGAACGCATGAAAAACTACTTTGAAAGCTTTTGGTTGACATCATGAATCGATTGATGTTAGACCACCATTGAAAACCTGGAAGCATTGGACGATCGTTTCGTACTATTGTGCGACTCCTC